CGCAGCTGTACACTTAACTAGATCTTGAGAGTCACGTATTAGCTGTTTTTCCAATTCGGAAAAACGGTTGATCGTTTTGTCCGTGATCTCGTCAACCGCGGCTAGGTTTTCGCTAACCAGTTTATGAATCTGGTTAATTCTTTCCCGAAGATCTGCGTTAACTTTGCCTTCGACTTCCAAAACGTCTACTTTGAGCTGTCCGGCAATTCGTTCCAAATGAAGCACTATTCTCTCGGCGATCTCCGCTGCTTTCACAGCATTTTTCGAGCCGCCTTTAAGTCCAATCGGATCGGTAACAATACCCCAGACATCTTCAACAAAAGTGCCTGCTATTGCATTGCTATGACCTATGCACAGCAGTAGAACTATTGCGAATTCTCTAAGCTTTGATTCAGGGCCCATATCGGGAACCTCGATCGGGTTTTACTACTAGCGACCTGAGCGTACTAAAGCGAAAATCCAAAGCAAACTCCACAGAGTTCCCACCCAGCGCCTTTGAAGTTTCCTACGCCGTCGTATTCACAGTAATTACACACCATCACGACGCCTCAGCAACTAGTGGGATGTTCGGGATCAGATATCTTTCCGGCACCGCCTGGAAATCTAGGATCACACGGACTTGCATCAGCAAAAGCATGGGATACAAGTCCGATGAAGGCGACAATAAATAGGGATACTTTGATTGTTGCTGGAAGCAAATACAGTTGATTGAAACGCATGACTTGTCTCCCTTTCAATCTTTGTTGTATCGCGATGCTTTGTCGCTAGCAATAGCATTAGTCCAAAAGTTCTCTACACGCATCCTCAAATTTCGGTATGTCGGAATGGGTGTGTCACAAAATAGATGCCTTTTTATAAACCACTCAACCATCAAAACCATTGCGATCTGCGTTCGGGTATCGACCGATAAGAAGAAGGACGACCCGAGGCGCCAGGCCAAAGCCGGGAAATGATTGATGGGTAGCTCTCAAAAAACGGAAATTTTTGTACGCGAAGCCGCGAAGATCGTCGATTTCGCGGCCCGCTGCGGTCCGTTACCAGAACTCAAAAAGAAAAGTGAACAGTTTGCTAGTAAAGTGTTCACTCGACATTGGACAGGCGTCTGTCGCAAATTGAAGCTGCCAATGGTATTTCTCCCTTTCTTGGCATTGGATGCCGTTGAGACGATAGTGGCAATGACTACCTCGGGCGATTTGCCAATTCGCCGCCGCACCGTGCTTCCGAAGGTTATTTTATTCCCCAACATACACGAGTCGCATTTCTTTGAAGTGCGGCCAAGGTACATTGGGAGCAGATTCCAGACGCAGGCGGTTGGCTTCATTGCGCAATCGGATCTGCCCCACCCGGTCGGTTCGTCGGAGGCTAGCATGCCAGTCAACCGTAGTTCCTCCTGCAACTCCAGTTAATGATCGAAGATTGTTTACGAAGAGTGTCAATGGCCTTGCATCTTTGGCGGCGTATCGAACATGAACGTCGTAGAGGCCAGGAACGACACTTACATCCCATGTCGCTGAGCTAATTCCGCCTGGCGGGGGTAGAAGTACCTTACCTTGGTATGCCGCGAGCAATGTGTCGGAGCCCCACACATATGTAGCATCGCCTGGGCTTGGATTCTCCACCCCTACCGTAGATGTTGTCTCGGTAGAAAGTAGAAAAACAGGGTTCGGTCGAAGGGGGAGTACTGACATCCGGCCATACGGGATAGTTGCTGATGAGATTACGCCGATTTCCACGCCACGAATCCGACTACTCAATTCACATACGACCCTAAACGTACTGAAATTAGACACCGATACGCCAGAAGATAATTCAGGTTTAGACTTCGGGCCACAAGTACTTACAACGGAATCAGGAGAAAAACTGAACTGTAAGTCCACAGGGGAAACGTTTTCCATTGAATAGTTTACTTTCGCATTAATTGAGAAAGCGTTAGTGGCCTGGCTGCGCGTCGTCCAAAGATGAGTTCCTTGGCTGTTTACGCAATCACGGAACGCGTTTACCAGGGTCGGTGAAACACGACGGGACCAACTACGGAAACTTGACCAAGCCTCGGATGAGGAAGATGTGTCGCTGCACAAATTATTTGAACTGGAATTTGAATTATCAAAACCCAATTCAATCGGAATTCCTTCAATAGGGATACCGATATTTACCCCGGTTGATGAATTGTTAGTGCTCTGGCTACAGTACTTAGATCTAAAATACTTTGTAGCAAAGTCGTCATTGCCCACTGCACTGATGTCAAAAACTCCATCGCGCAATAAGCCTTCGCATGCTGACTGTGCAAGTACCGAATTTGGGGTTATGGCTACGCCGAAAACTATTAGTAGGCCGACTATCGTTGTTTGAATACGCACTTCGCCTCCAATTGAGTAAACTCTTTTTTATAGACTCTCTGTCACCGTCTCTCAACATCATCAGAACTATGGTGAACACTTTCGCAGGAAAGTGTTCACCTTTTTGACCGAGTTGGCAATTCGGCGATACCCAATTTTGGGGCTTTCGGCGGCTTGACCCGTTCTGAAAAGTCGCTAGAGTGAACAGATGACTAGCGAACTGTTCACCGATTACTGGTTATCCTCATCGCCTGTTTTTTCTAGATCGTTAGTTAATTGCTTGTACCG